GATCCGTGGCCAGATCAACGTTGCCTGGCAGCGGTTCCTGGAGCAGGCCGAGACCGACTGGATCGACATATACCAGGTGGGGGAGGACGGCCAGAAGTATCGTGGGCGAGGTCAACCAGTGCAGCCGCGCTGGGTCCGCAAGCTGCCTGTCGTTGGCGCGCGGTGGCCCAACGTCTCGGCCGAGGCTACCTGGCTCTACAGGGTGTGGTGCGAGCTGCAGCTTGTCGCCGCCGTCGTGCAGCCCGTCAGCCGTGTCCGTGCGCTTCGAGGTCTGCGCAGGCTGATGGTGACCGCGCCCAAGGCCGTGAAGGGTGTCGCTGAGGCTGAGCCTCACGACCTGCCTGTCGCGAGCTCTTGGTGGCAGCTCCTCAGCAGCCTGGGCGTTCGCTGCCTGGACCCGTCCACCACGGTCCTGCAGCTGAGCGTGTGCGCCCACGCCGCCGCCGTGAAGCTGGCCGAGCGTGACATGGCGGAGCGCAAGGCCAGGTTCCAGCAGTGGGTCGCCAAGCAAGCTGAGGGCGGTGGCGGCGGGCTCCACACGGTGGCTAGCTTGCCGATCAGGTTCGCGGAGAGCCCCATGCTGCACACCAGCACCGCGGAGACGCACGCGCCCTTCTGCGAGCCCGCCGACCTCGCCGCGGAGGTCACTGCACTGGAGGTTGCCTGGAGCGGGTGGTGGAGGACAACATGCGAGCAGGTGTCGCTGCGCTGGCCGCAGGACCTTGGCGCGCGGCCGCCTCGGCCGACGGTGGCGCAGCTGCGGAAGGTGCTCATGACTTTCCCCGCCAACACGGGCACTTCCTTCTGCGCGGTGCGGCCCAGGCAGCTCAACGATCTCTGCGACGACGGGATCGAGGTCCTCGCTGACATCATCGAGGCGATCGAACTCCACGCATCCTGGCCTGAGATGACCACCAAGATCTGCTTCACACAGAAGAGGCTTGGCGGGTCTAGACCGATCGCGCTGATCATGGTGCTGGCCCGTGTGCAAGCTCGGCTGCGTCGTGACATCGCACGCGGATGGGAGATGCAGAATGCGCGCAGCTACTGGTGGGCTTCGGCGGGGCGCAGTTGCGAGCGAGCGGTCTGGCACCAGGCTGCCATTGGCGAGTGGGCCACGCAGCGTGGACAGGACTGCGGCGACGAGAAGCGCTGGGTGGCGGCGGCCGTCCTGCTCGACCTGCCGAAGGCCTTCGAGCAGGTCAGGCACCACTGGTTGCTGGACGCCGCGGTGCGCACTGGCTTCCCGTTGTGGCAGCTCAAGCTTCAGGTGGAGCTGTACTGCGCGCCGAGGGTGCTCGCCCTAGGCAGCGCGCACTCCGACGTGATCGAGGCTCGGCAGGCGATCCTGCCAGGAGACGGCTTCGCCACCACCCTGCTCGAACTGATGCTGATCGGGCCGCTGGACAGGCTGGTCGGGCAGCACCCGACGTTGCAGCTGGCGGTGGTCGTGGACGACCTCATGTTGCACAGGTTCGGCGGAGCAGTGCGTGTCACGAAGGAGGTGGCGGAGGCGGTCTTCAGCTCAAAACGCTCTTGACGGAGGTCGACCTCAACGCGGCGCTCTCCAAGTCCCGTGTGCTCGCCAACCTGCCCGACGTCAGGCACGCCGTCGCTGCCAAGCTCAAGCGGCCGCTCGGCATGGTGTCGGTCAAGAGCGAGCGCAATCTTGGAGTCGACTTCTCTTGCGGCCGCAGGGTTGTGAGGAAAGTCCGCGGCGACAAGATGGTGCTCGCGGGGTTGAGGCTCAGGCGCGTGGCCATCCTGAAGACTGGGGTAGGGCGCAAGCTGGCTGTCCGCAATGTGGCGCGCAGCGGGATCGAGGCGTCCGTCTCCTACGGCTTCTCCGTCACGGGCTGCGCCACCACGGAGCTCGACAAGCTGCGCACGCTCATCTTCACGGCCGTGGCGCCGAGCGTGGCGGGGCGGTCGCGGACTCACCCTCATGCTCACGCCCTTCCTCGACCCTGTCTACCGCGCGACGCTGGCCCCAGTGATGGCGATGCTGCGTGCGGTCTGGGAGCGCTGGGTGCCGAAGCATGTGATCAAGTATGGACTGGCCCAGTGTGCGGCCACTAGCTGGTGCC